TGACGTCACCTGGTCATCACGTGACCACAGGAGACCTACGGACTGGTCGAGGCACTCTAGGCTGGTGCCGAGCTCTCCGCTGATTGGTTAATTCATAGAACAGAGAGGACAAGCATGGCCCGCTCCTGCCTCGCCTTAGGGGAAGCATTCGTCCGGTGTCGCCGTTCTTGTCAGACGTGCCTTCCCACAGTTCAGCCAAACTGCAAGAAACACCATCTAGAGCGACATTCAGTAACTCATTATCTTCGTTCCGTCGGTGCAGGTAAGTTTAACAGAATCTGGGATCGCGGCAATAGCAACTATGATATTAAGAGTGAAACGAAGAAGAAATAGTTTAACTCATCATGAGGTCACTCGCAGGGTAAGGCAGATTGCATCAGAGTGCTTCTGCTCATATTGTGATCATCTGTCATCTAGTGTTGCAAGAAGTAAGCTAAAGGGATAAGAGACTGTGCTCGGCTGTGATTACGTTCCTTAGGGAAATAGTTTATCAGCCAGTTCTGGGGGACATAGAAACTCCCGCCAAATCCTTAGTTTAACATTGTGTTACTGTGTTTTGCTTGTCTGCACAACTTTGTGTCATATTTAATTATTAATTAAAGAGTCAGTGAAGTTAATTAGTGTAATTAATGTAACAAAGTGAAGTATTTGCTTCTTGTTTGGCAAGCTGTCTTGAGTGGCAGCGTTAACGTAATTCACTCTTGATTAATTATCTGTCCATTTGATAATAATTAATGTACAAGATACCTGCTTGATGGGGTTCTGGGAGTAGTTCTATTCCCCAAGCCTGGTCCAAGGCCAGGGTTGACTTGTGAGAGTTTGGTCCACCAGGCTGTTGCTTGGAGCGGCCCGCAGGCCCACATATCCAACACAACTCAGTTGGTCCAGCACTCCTTGGAGAAAATTATCTAGTTTTCTCTTGAAGATGTCCACGGTTGTTCCGGCAATATTTCTTATGCTCGCTGGGAGGACGTTGAACAACTGCGGACCTCTGATGTTTATACAGTGTTCTCTGATTGTGCCTATGGCACCTCTGCTCTTCACTGGTTCTATTCTGCATTTTCTTCCATATCGTTCACTCCAGTATGTTGTTATTTTACTGTGTAGATTTGGTACTTGGCCCTCCAGTATTTTCCACGTGTATAATATTTGGTATCTCTCTTGTCTTCTTTCTAGTGAGTACATTTGGAGAGCTTTGAGACGATCCCAATAATTTAGGTGCTTTATCGCGTCTATGCGTGCCGTATATGTTCTCTGTATTCCCTCTATTTCAGCAATCTCTCCTGCTCTGAAGGGGAAAGTGAGTACTGAGCAGTACTCAAGACAGGACAGTACAAGTGATTTCTATAGTACAACCATTGTGATGGGATCCCTGGATTTGAAAGTTCTCGTAATCAATCCGATCATTTTTCTGGCTGACGCAATATTTGCTTGGTTATGCTCCCTAAACGTTAGGTCGTCAGACATCATTATTCCCAAATCCTTTACATGCTGCTTTCCTACTATGGGTACATTTGATTGTGTTTTGTACCCTGTATTGTGTTCAAGGTTCTTATTTTTACCGTACCTAGATACCTGAAACTTATCATTGTTAAACATCATGTTATTTTCTGTTGCCCAGTCGAAAACTTTATTAATATCTGCTTGAAGTTTTTCAATGTCTTCAGCAGAGGTAATTTTCATGCTGATTTTTGTGTCATCTGCAAAGGATGATACGAAGCTGTGACTTGTATTTGAATCTATATCTGATATGAGAATAAGGAAAAGCAGTGTTGCAAGGACTGTACCCTGAAGTACAATGCTTTTAACTGCACTTGGACTCGATTTTACATGGTTGACCTGGTTGATGGGGTTCAGGGAGTTGTTCTACTGCCCAAGCCCGACCCGAGGCCAGACTTGACTTGTGAGAGTTTGGTCCACCAAGCTGTTGCTTGGAGCGGCCCTCAGGCCCACATACCCACCACAGCCCGGTTGGTCCGGCACTCCTTGAAGGAAACAATCTAGTTTCCTCTTGAAAATGTCCACGGTTGTTCCTGTAATATTTCTGATGCTCGCTGGTAGGACGTTGAACAACCGTGGACCTCTGATGTTTATACAGTGTTCTCTGATTGTGCCTATGGCACCTCTGCTCTTCACTGGTTCTATTCTGCATTTTCTTCCATATCGTTCACTTCAGTACGTTGTTATTTTACTGTGCAGATTTGGGACCTGTCTCTCCAGTATTTTCCATGTGTATATTATTTGGTATCTCTCTCGTCTCCTTTCTAGTGAGTACATTTGGAGAGCTTTGAGACGATCCCAATACTTTATTGACTATTAAAGGATTATTACTCTTTGTGTTCTGTTCGACAGAAAACTGAGTATCCAGCGTCCTACTCAACCCGTTCTCGCAAATTCGTAAAGTCAATATTGACTTATTAACTACGTGCATAGGTGATATACTAAACATAATAGATCCCTTAAAAAGATTCATAGAAAACACCGACCTTACCTAACCTTGTTAGTATCTTAAGAAAGCATCTTATTGCTTCGTAATTACAATTATTATTAACCTATACCTAGGTAATAATTGTAATTACGAAGCTATAAGATGCTTATCTTAAGATACTAACGAGGTCGGTGTTTTCTATGAATCTTTTTAAGGGTATCTATTATGTTAAGTATGTCACCTATGCACATATTTAATAAGTCAATATTGACTTATTAAATTTGCGAGAACGGGTTGTCCTACTTTACCGGTTATACCCATTGACCTCATTTTGTGTGCTATCACTCCATGGTCACATTTATCGAATGCCTTTGTGAAGTCCGTGTATACCACATCAGCATTCTGTTTTTCTTCTAATTCCTCAGTGACTTTGTCGTAGTGATCAAGTAGCTGTGAGAGGCACGATCTTCCCGCTCGAAATACGTAGATTGCTTTGTTGCTGAATGTCTGGTTTACAGTAAATTAACATAATTAATCACCAAGACTAATTTGTGTAATTGATTAGACTATTGTTTTGATTGTCATCCTTAGAGACGTGTGTTAATGTAATTGAGAGGATTACCGGAGATTGTCTCAGTGACCCGCCTTGCTGTGTTTACATTGTTATTAACTGCATTTTGCTGCAAATGCTTAAATTGCAACTTGAGTCCTAAGTGAGCACCCGTATTGTTCAGTTAGTTCATTATATCAGCCTGAGCGGCACAGATCGGAATCTACGCTATACTGCTGTCTGGATAGCTGTCTTTAAGTGTCACTTAAGGACATTACCGTAATGCCAAGCTTGTTGGGCCTTGTATTAGATTTAGTCCTTAACAAATAAATTGTTATTGTTACCAAAAGAAAAATGAATGTCAATACCTTCCAATATTATTGTCCCACCCATGCTGCTACGTATTGAGCTGTTCTTGCAAACTTTAATGAAGGCCTGCTTCTGGCCGTCATTCGAACCCGATTCATTGCCTCACACATCAAATTAAATCTGGTGTGAGAACCCATGAGCTACCTTCAAGATTACACTAAACATTTGAGGAGCTTATAAGGGTTCCATTGTTTGGGAAACCTGGCAGTTGCTCCCGCCATTTATTCCAGTTTTAATAGTAATAATCCGCATCTGGCATTTAACGTGCTGGCTTGTGCAATCCTTTCTGACTGAGGCCATATGTATTAGTGTCCAACCTCAAATAAATAAAGCTCACACTTTGAATTGAGAGTAAACATTTCTTTGATCGTACCGTTGGTTCAGGGTGTAACCTACAGTAGTACAGTGGTATCCAGGTCGAGTTATTATTAATACTGCAGTTGATGTCACAAATGTGACAGCTGGTGTTACAATGGTATTTGTGAGTGGTGTCTCGTGCTTCATCTCTCTCATCTCCAGTCTATTTCTTTCTCACTTTCTCTTTCTCGCATCTGCTATACATACAATCCCAGCAAACACACAGCGAAACTACGACGTTGGTACAACGTTCGAACAAGTTTTAACACCTCCTAACTAGTTATAACAACCAATATAGCAAGTTGTAACAACGTTCTAATACGTTATAAACAGGTTAAGCCAAGATATAACAACTTTATTACAAGTTGTAACAAGCGGAAAATAGGGACTGTTACGGTTTGTGTTTCCAGGGATAGATCTAATTAACGTAGGTAAGGATGGATAATGGTGCAGAGATATTATTTACACAAAGCATAGCGGTAGGATACATTTTGACAGGTGAGGAATGGAGACGACGGGAGAGGCTGTCAGTGACAGATGGGTAACGAGCTTACTCATACTGCAATTGGGAAAGTATTCATTGCTAACGGTTATTGTAAGAACCCATTTCACTCCTAAACATTCATTTATACTTGTACTGATCTTGAAGTGACCTTAAAAGTGCATAATATCTTCCCATAAAAGCCATATTTGCTTCTCTTAAAGCCATCTGAATCAAATTGAAACTTTTCCCTAATCGTTTCTCCTGCCTAACTCTAAGCGTAATGCCTGTTGCTGCTGTATGATCTAGTTGCAAATCTATAAGTACTGTGTATGCCATACGTTCTAACCCTATTACTACATGTTTCAACATAGGGCAAACACTGCAACATTCCCTTTTTCTATGCTTGCAACATTGCTCCTTCTCTTTCTCAATACAATTGCATTGCAACCAAGAACAGCATGAACGGTCGTAGTCGTACTTTACCCTATGCAAGGGGTGAGTATTAGAACATTACGAGTACTCACGCAACATGTGAGTGTTAGAACATTACGAGTAATCACGCAACACGTGAGTGTTAGAACATTACGAGTACTCACGCAACACGTGAGTGTTAGAACATTACGAGTACTCACGCAACACGTGAGTGTTAGAACATTACGAGTACTCACGCAACACGTGAGTGTTAGAACATTACGAGTACTCACGCAACACGTGAGTGTTAGAACATTACGAGTACTCACGTAACACGTGAGTGTTAGAACATTACGAGTAGTCACGCAACTCGTGAGTGTTAGAAGATTATGAGTACTCACGCAAGGGGCGGCAGACCGAGCACCTTGCATCTGTGGGCGGCGGCGCCCACCTCCTCCCAGGGTGCCGTCACTTCGATCTTGACGGTGGGCGTGGGCGGCGGTTCGAGAGAGGAGCGGTGTGAAGCAGGGGAGGGTGAGGTGTGAGGTGAGGTGAGGGGTGAGAGAAAAGACTCACACCTTAGGCTCGTGGGTTCCGGCCTGGCCCCCGTCCGACTCTCCGTCGACCCATAACCCAGATCGTAGAAGCCCCCGGGGTTCTGGTGCTGCTGTTTCACCTGTTGCAGCTGCTGCAGATGCTGCTGCTCCTGCTCCTGCAGATGCTGCTGCTGCTCCTGCAGATGCTGCTGCTGCTGCTGCTGCTGTTGTTGTTGTTGCTGCTGCTGCTGCTGCTGCTGCTGCTGGAGTTGCTGTTGCTGCTGCTGCTGCTGGAGTTGCTGTTGCTGCTGCTGCTGCTGCTGCTGCTGCTGCTGTTGCTGCTGCTGCTGCTGCTGCTGCTGCTGCTGGTGCTGCTGCTGCTGCTGGAGTTGCTGCTGGTGATATTTCATGTCTTGTTCGCATATGTTGTTATGCTGCAGACTAATGTGTTGTTGCTCGTGCAGGCGATGATCGCGTAGTCGGGCATCATGCATGTGTTGATCGTTCATGTGTTGATCATGCAGGTGTTGATCATGAATGTGTTGATCAAACAGGTGTTGATTCTGGAGATGCTGATCATGCTGCTGTTGATTCGGCAGGTATTGATCGTGCAGTTGTTTATCCTGCAGGTGTTGATGATGATGCTGTTGATTTTGCAGGTGTTGATCGTGCATGTGTTGATTCTGGAGGTGTTGCTCGTGTTGTTGCTGATCGTGCAGGTGTTGCTCGTGCAGGTGTTGCTGGTGCAGGTGTTGGGAGGAGAGAGGCAGGCTGGGCGAGGCAGGACGGCCGCCTCCACTCATAGTCTCCATGCGAGAAATTACCTCCTCGAACTCATCGAGCTGAGAGCGGGTGTTGACGGGGGCGGGCGGTATGAGGGCGGGGTGCCGCCCAGCACCACCCCCGCCCTGCAGGGGGTGGCAACCCCAGGAGCGGGACGGGGCGGGGCACGGGGGTGGGTGGAGGTGGGTGGAAGGGGTTGGGCAGGAGCGAGGTTGTACCGGAGGCTCCAGTGCAACCTCCAGCTGACAGAAGAGGTCGGCCTGGCACTGGGCGGCACCTGTTGGCCGCACTACACGCGGGCACTCCATCACAGGCGGCACTCCATCACCTTGCTCCTCCACGCACCGCCCTCCATCCCTCCACTCCCTCCTCCTGTCACTCTATATACACTCTGACGCACTCTGATTCACGCGAGGCACTGACACTTATATTTCCTCCATGGCACTGCCGCTCAGTGAGGCAGCGAGTGACCTTTGTACACAGAGTGCCTCACATGGCTGCCGATCACAAGGCACTCAGGACACGCACTCGGGACTATAGCCACTCAGGTGGTGGCACTCAGGACGCGCACTCGGGACTATAGCCACTCAGGTGGTGGCACTCAGGACGCGACACTCGGGACTATAGCCACTCAGGTGGTGGCACTCAGGACACGCACTCGGGACTATAGCCACTCAGGTGGTGGCACTCAGGACGCGCACTCGGGACTATAGCCACTCAGGTGGTGGCACTCAGGACGCGACACTCGGGACTATAGCCACTCAGGTGGTGGCACTCAGGACGCGCACTCGGGACTATAGCCACTCAGGTGGTGGCACTCAGGACGCGACACTCGGGATTATAGCCACTCAGGTGGTGGCACTCAGGACGCGGGAGTGCAGGGCACTCAGGTACAGGTGAGTGAGGTGCACTCGAGTGAGCAAGACTGAGGCCCCGGGTGCCAGGGACAGACAGACTGCCAGCGGGTATAACCTTGGGGCTGTGCCACCTGCACCCCCCAAAATCCTGGCACCACCTCGCACCCCCCCCCCCCACTCTGCCCCTCCCCAGGCCCTTCCCCACACCACCCCCGGCTGTCCCTCCCCGCACCACCCCCGGCTGTCCCTCCCCGCACCACCCCCGGTTGTCCCTCCCCGCACCACCCCCGGCTGTCCCTCCCCGCACCACCCCCGGCTGTCCCTCCCCGCACCACCCCCGGCTGTCCCTCCCCGCACCACCCCCGGCTGTCCCTCCCCGCACCACCCCCGGCTGTCCCTCCCCGCACCACCCCCGGCTGTCCCTCCCCGCACCACCCCCGGCTGTCCCTCCCCGCACCACCCCCGGCTGTCCCTCCCCGCACCACCCCCGGCTGTCCCTCCCCGCACCACCCCCGGCTGTCCCTCCCCGCACCACCCCCGGCTGTCCCTCCCCGCACCACCCCCGGCTGTCCCTCCCCGCACCACCCCCGGCTGTCCCTCCCCGCACCACCCCCGGCTGTCCCTCCCCGCACCACCCCCGGCTGTCCCTCCCCGCACCACCCCCGGCTGTCCCTCCCCGCACCACCCCCGGCTGTCCCTCCCCGCACCACCCCCGGCTGTCCCTC